AAATTCTAATACGGAACAGTAATAGATAAAGTTTACAGCTATATATATTAAGCCCAAAAATCTGTCTGTCTGTCTGTTTGTCCATTATCTAACTACTCCTAAGTCGCTAGACCAATCTCAACCAAACTTTGTGAGATGATAGTATGGAACAAGTGGCATATTAATGGGTAGTTAACAACCCCTTTACCTCCCTTTATTGGTGTTATTGAGCATTTATTACATATGGCGCCACGTCCTTACACACAAAAATCATTATTATTTTTTCTATAACACAACATACACAAAGTGTGGGGGGGGGCACACAAACGTCTTATATATCTTAGAGAGTGCTAGCGCACTTTCTACAGAAAATTGCAATGAAAATAAATGGCCGACATTACTGCAATAGTACATAAACTCAGCTGTAGTTTCTACTTAAACAGTCATCATAAGGCTGATATGAAAAGCCGTTTTTGAGTTATACCCACTTCCTACTTTGACCCATGACGTTTAAACTTCGGCCCGTAAGACACTTCTGCGGTCAATGACCGTCAATTAATCAATCACGTGAAACACTGTGGAAGAACATCGAGAGATTGGTGTTGAAATCAGGTAACAGAAAGTACCTCTACAGCAACTACTTTTGTCGCTACCTCTTACTACAAAGTCGTCCTGACCACCGCACAGTGTATACCATGTTTTAAGTATATACATATTGAATTCTTAAAGTTTATACAAAACTATGGATGAGGTAATAATGAATACTGTAATAATATGTTGTGTTATAAATGAATTGTGCAAAAGTTAGCAATTTTGTATTATTCATCATAGCATCCACTCAAATATTTTTTAAGTTCATAACGCGAACAAAGGACAGGTATCTCAACTTGTTGGAAATATTCCACTATTTGTAAAAATTTGTATACAGATGCTTATTCGCTGAATGTTTAGACCATACACACCGAGCGTCAATTAAAGCTATTGTAGCAGCAGTGAGATGAGCCATACTAGTGATGACAATTCCGCTTATGGATAACCACCTGAAATGACTTATCACGAGGAACTAGTCATTCCAGGTGTTATTTGCTGTGAAACAGGTGAAGTAGGACTATCATAAATCAGCAAATACAATGCTAGTGGCATCCTTGTAGCTTTTTGTCTATGTATTTCCTCAAAGTCTTTGTTGTACTTCGATTCTATTTTTCTTGAAACTATGTCTAGAGGCTTTCTTTAATACAGTTGATATTTTTGTCAAGTATGAGGTCTAACAAATCCCAAATTTGTTTTATGCAGTTAGAGTCTGGTTTTTGTGCAGGCAAATTCATTTGTTAAAGATCTCTTGAGCTTTCTTTCTTTGTGAAATAAGATTAACATTTCTTGGAAGTGAGTTGGGTAATAGTCTTCTTGAAATATGAAATTATACAAAGTCAACTTCCATCCAGAAGGTATAACATGATGGACTAATATAGTGTGGCATTCATGTTGGTACAGGATTCCGTCAATTTTTATTATGATGGGCACTACCATACACAAATTTTGTGCCCCAAACCACCGGTGAGCCTTCTACATGTTTGATTGTTGGCACAAAACATTTCTTGTGCAACCTTTCATTTACTCTTATGTTAAGATATGCATACTACTTGGAACCAAACAGCTCAAACATAGATTCCTCTGTCCAAAGCACTTATGCCATGTTCCAAAGACAAGGATAATGGTTCTTTCACAAAAGCTAGTCTCTTTGCTATATTCTTTATGCAAAGTAAGGGCTACATTCTTGAGACTGAACTTCTTGAAGCTTTATCTATGTGATTTATCAATGTCATAAATAAGTTTTTTTCAGTTTTCCTTCAGGGTTTCAGGGAAGCAAATTTTAACTACCTCATAGCTCTTTCAATGAGGTTTTTTCTCCATCCTCTGTCTTGTTTGATATTATAGATGTGACTTTCCCATGTGTACTTCACAATATTTGTTGAACAGCTGGGGTCTTTTGCAATTTCCCTTAACTCCAACCATAATCAGGTAATAATTTCATCTGACTTGGTTAAAGAGTGTTCTATCTGTGTTGGCATGTTAATATAAATTCCACACAACATTAGCTGCAAAAAACAATATTAATGAGTGCAGGATGATGCATTGCACAACTTTTATGAACACAAAACATGTTTATCAACTTGTGATACGTTTAGCGGTCCCCAGAGCTCTGATGTCGAACATACCTTTTGCTTTTCATACTACAATAACAGGAAAACACCAGGGAGCATAATAATTTATTATCTATAAAGGGAAAAAATTGTTATGGCTACATTTACATAAAACAATTGAGAGATGGCATATGCACTGTGCCATGTGGGTTTCACAAAAGAAAATTGGTTGCACCAGTGAAAACATTAAGAAAAGATTATATGTTCCTTTGCAAAAAATCACTTCCCTGGACATAACTGGCCTTTAACCCAAATCTGAATTAGGTAATTGGAACGTGCTGGCCATTATTGATAACTTCATCCAGATGGCCAAACCTTATCCTTTGGCCAATACTTTAGTGCAGACTGGTGTTTTTGCTGAAAAATGTTTAACATGATTCAAAACACCTGGGGCAATTTACACAAGTCAAGAAATGAATTTAATTGATAAGAAAGGTAATCATATACAAATTAAATGTAAACATACATATTATAATACCGTTCATTTTAAGTTTGATTCATATAACTAGATTAGAACTACTTGTATTAGTATACATAAAAAACATAAAGAAATTTCTGAAAGAACACACACATTAGTAGGTACACATAGTCTAAAGATGATGATCAGTTTCTTCCTTCTCGTAGTTTAGCAAACTTTTGAGGGGTGAGGAACCTTGGAATGATTACCCTGCAAAAACATAAATCAATGTTTTACTTAGTCCAATTTTACATGGTAAAAAAACAATAATCATAGGAAAAACCAAAACTACATTGGTTGACGAAATAAAAAAGACGAATCGAAACACAGAATATGTTATGCAGACATGAAACGACATGAATCCCTGTTCCTATTTACTGCGATTAAAATGCTCAATAATTGGTGATACACAAATATTTTTAATAAAACAACATAAGTTAGTCTTGTTTATACCATCTCAGTAAACTGTAAGATGGTCTCACCTTCTAAAGACAGTCGGCATGTACTGTGACAGGTAACATATTGACAGGGAAGGTTGCAGACTAATCCATACTTCATCTAAGTTGTTGGCTAATGCAACCGCCATCAACTGAGCACACCGAGATGTAGACATTCGTTTGTCAGTCTCTTTCTGCTTTTCACCAAACACCTGCAGGATATACATAGATCATATTTTGTTTTAATCAATCTAGCATTCTTCGTAACAAAATCTGTCTATTTGTGCTTCATGTTTTGTGTAACGATAATAGATATAAGATAAAAAACTGAACATTTATAGCAATATCTAACTGATAAAGTTACTTAAAGAATTTTTGTTTCTCTAATTCTTCACAAGTTAAAATTATGCACTAAGATAACTTTTTAAGTAACAAAACACACAAAGCTTGGAAAAAATGAGAATTTGTTTTTAAATTTCTAACAAAACCCAAATATAATACAGTATGTCCCTTTTACTAAGTACTATTTTATTATTTAAGCTATACTACAAGTAATCTAGCCTGGTCAGGGTGCCATTGTTTATGAAACCCATTAATTATATGTATCTAACAATAAGTCAAAAAGTTAAGAAACGTAAGAACTTTGCTGCAGGTGGTACTCTATAACACAGGAGCAGTTATGACGATATTCAATTAACTTACCTCTCCAGGGGTCCCTGTAAAGCATCGTTCTATCACGTTCGAGAATACTGGCCCAGGACAAGCTACTGTAACATTCACTCCTTTAGCCTCGAATTCTGTTCTCAAACACTCGAAATATCCCTAAATATAATAACAAATCATACACGTCAAAATTTATCGAAGCAATGAAGGTCCATTAATTGACTAATTAAGTTTGTTAGTTTTTTGTTTTGAATTTCGCGCAAAACTACACGAGGACTATCTGCGCTAGCCGTCCCTAATTTAGCAGTGTAAGACTAGAGGAAAGGCAGCTAGTCATCACCACCCACCGCCAACTCTTGGGCTACTCTTTTACCAACGAATAGTGGGATTTACTGTCACATTATAACGCCCTCACCACTGAAAGGACGAACATGTTTGGTTGGACGGGGATTCGAACCCGCGACCCTCAGATTGCGAGGCACTAGAATTAATTGACTAATTAAGAGAAATGTGATAAAACGTCTGAAGTCTAGCGTAATTTTTAATACATTATTACATTCATTTGGGTAACTTTTGAAATAAAATACTCTAATTACATTACTTATTTATTTACGTATGCATGTTTGAATACAGTTAATCTAGTTTTAATACAAATAATTATTTCTAATTGGATTTATTTTATACATTGTTTGTTTTACCTGGCCATACTTAGTTTATACATTACT